AAATGCATTACAGGGCTTCTTTACTTATATGATAAGTATTATTTTACCTCTATTTACGGTCTAATTGCAAGTTTCTGTTCTAGCATATCGTTATATCTATCCGTAATTACCGTCTCGCTACAAATTGCACCGTATCGCGACTGGCGACTGGTATTTTATCAATTGTACTACGCGATATTTTTACCTGTCTGTAACGGTTTGGAGTCGTTCTAACAAAGCGTGGAATGTGTGCTAAAAAGATTGCAACACTTGTTTAATGTATCTTTAATTGCCATTGTCTAATCTAATTCACTACATTCAATACTTTACAATGCATATGCATGTATAAAGAATATTTCATAGACACAATAATTTGAAGGTAATCTGCATGCACATAGAAGCAAATAATATATTGGTAATACGCACACATAGATTATAATTTTTGTAGAATATTTGTAATTAAAAAATTCATCACGTATTTACAAAACACTGTATCTTTGCATCATATTATTCAAAACACTGTATGTTTGTATTGTATCATTCAGTAATGATCATCTTTCTTATCATATATTTTTATTAAGTTGTACTTTTAAATCTAAATTTAATCATTGAGACATTCTGTAACGCAAATCTCTTTTAATATCTTTATAATCAGGGATTCCTTGTATACGTTGTTACAGTTACTTTTTTATAACGATTTAGTAAAGACGTTACAAGTTTTATGTCGGTAACGATAACGCCAAGGTTGAAACAGTCACTGTTGAAAGTAACTTGTTACCATTAAGCGTTACTCATTGAAAAAAAATAACTCGCTATTTTACTCGTTACGTCATGAAAAATTGTAACATCATTTCCAAATCATTATTATAAAAAGGTAACGCTAATGGGGCGTTATAAGTAACCCCGTTACTCGCTATCCTTGGCAATTACCTATATTGGCTACTCTCGAGAATATAATCATCCCTCGCGGGAAACCCAAGTTCTATCTGTAGATAGATAAATATACGTGCGACTTCTCGGCCACATTTGTAACCTCGATGCAGTCGTCGTCATGCAGACTTCATAGTGCAGGCAGGTGACTAAGAGGGGCAGAGAACGAAGTGAAGAGAAAATGAAAAGGTAAGAGCGACGAGGCAGGGCGAAGGAAGTTGCAGTGCGCTTGCATTGTTCGCACAGCTGTTTACCCAGTTTTCCAGCAGCAGCAGTGGCGCATTGCGATGCTAATTTCGTTTGCATTGTGCGACGATATACGCGCATGCATTCATAGCGCGCCCCGACGCGACGGATCGAGAATCGTGGAGGGGAAAACAAGAAGAAGAAGAAGAAGAATGCCTCGATCGTGATCTATGCGGCGATTCACGTCACCGGCCGAGCTAGTCTTGCATGTGTGATGAGAACACGATCGTAGTGAATCATTCAATTAAGTCGAATCGAGAAACGTCAAATCAAACCAGAATTCAATATTTTAATGGTTGCTTTTTAGCCTACCTCTTGATTGAAAATAACATGAACTGCAATCCACTTCAGACCATCCCATTTTCAATTTTATATTGTACGTTGTTGCGTCACAAATTGCCGAGGATTATCTATCCGGTATATAACGAGGCGAAGGTGACGATAACGGCAGCTAATGAAAGCCCTTGCGCAGTTGATGACTCGGTTGGTCAATCGTGATTAACCGTACTCATTCGAAAACTTGCCATGAGCTAATCGCAAAACGTTATCTCCGCGAGGTGTGCAACACGTTAATCGTTCCGTTCAGACGATACGTCGAGTAAATATACTGCGTATCATGCGAAAATGTCGTTGCGAAATATATATAACTATAAGTGCCTTGAACTAATGGAAGCTTCAAACTCCTATTGGCAAAAAAGAAAAAAATCGAAAATCAAAAGTCTGGATTTCACACAAATAAAACACTATCTCTAAATTTAAGATTGAGATATCAAATTTTATTGAAAGCTATTTTGAAAGCGACGTGATTTAAAATCTAATCTGGATTTTGATTACCGGTGATTTGATATTAGCAAGAAAAAAAATTGCGAGCGTCGAATGTTGCGACGCGAGAGCTAATCGGTGAGCTGTCCAGTATTTCAGAAATAATTAGTCCACTTTTCGAAGCCATTTATGTTTTTCCGTCGCGTAAAATTGTGCCCATAGATAATGGTGCGGTAATTACGGGTTTTTTTTTTGTTACCTCACCACCGAGGTAGAGTAATTAAAGTATTCTGGTACATGCGCATTTCATTCCCGATCATTACGTTTAATTTCTCACTGATCCTTTGGTGATATCATCTGCATGCTTTACGATAATTTAGAGATTCGATCTATGAAAATTATTACATCATTGTTACTATGTCATTTCGAGTTTCATGACTTTGACATTACGTTACGTTACATCACGCGACGTTGATATTATATTACATTTATGTCATATATTTTACTTTAATTACATCATGCTTGTATAGCCACAATTATTTATATAACCGGTTGGCTGTATTAAAAATTATCGTTACAATATTTCGCTCGCAATTATGAAACGAGTAGGGTAAACGATGTCTAAATTTAATAATTTGTTTGTTATGTAAAATGAACATACATGTAAAAGAGGACAATGTGCCATCAATTGACAAATGGTGATAGACAATCTTGACCTAGATACAGCAGTTTCGAGTTGCGCTTGTCACAGCGACTTCAGCATCGCGATTATACTTACGTTTAATTCCAAGGTCATCGCGAAGTGATGTTCCCGGCCCCGCTTATCATTCGCCTAGGATACGGCGGGTTTATGCAAGCGAGACGGCACCCTGCCTCTCTCCTAGGAGAGAGCAGCCAATAGAGAACGATTCCGACGGCGGCGCCGACGCACTCGGCCCTCTCCTACTCTCCTGAGATAGTCTGCCGAATCAAATCTAACGACGGATATCTCGTGCGCGCGCACGGCCGCTCCGGAGAGTGCCTATTGGCGTCTGCACCCAGGCGCCGAGTTAAGATGGACGTTGCACGATGGTACCCTAGATCATGGACCACGCATCTGTGATGTTATTAGACAGCATCATCGAAATCTCCAGTTTCTATTTTTAAGATGACTTTGACCAAACGTCAGTCTACTTAATTGATGATTTACTTATCGAGTGCTACCTCTACTATTTTGTTAACATCAATCAAATTATCAAGTTTTTATCGTTTAACATATCGAGAAAAAGATCAGGGATGACAAATTATACAAATTATACAAATTATAGAAATTTTGCTTCGAACAATTCTTCTAATTAATCATCGATTAAGCTAAATGGAGTATGAACCAAATCACCTTCATTGATTATTCATCTTTAGACGTTGATGATATGGAAGTTAGAATTAACACGTTTACCTTAATTAATAATTCACGATGAATTTAAAAAGAAATTTTACAGCGCAGTATTATAATAAAATATCGTGTTTAATTTTAAAAAATTGTTGCTACAGAAAATCACTATAGAAGTCCGAAAGACCACAATACAAAAGTCGTATTAAGATTCAGTAGATTAAGCAGATTCAACATCTTGTTGAACAGCCAGATCTATTTCCAGTCACCAAGTGAATTTAATTTGACTGGATGAATTTAATCTGGCTCTCTTTGTTTGATAAGCCTATTGAATTTATTCATTCATTTACATTTATTACGTAATAATGAAAATGATAAAAGTTATAAACATCTCAACAACTGCTATCTAATAATAACTATTTTGAATAATTATGATTTAACAATCTGCATATATCTCTGTATTTCAAGAGATATTAATCACGATTGATTAGATCATTGCGATCGGGATAAATGGGTGTTAAAGTTATTGCATAAATTAATCTCTTATGTAGCAAAGATAGCGCGCCGTACCCAAGAATCTGTCACGTGCTATCGCCATAAGCCAGACAGACGCGCGCGATCAAGAAATTTCAATTGCAAAACAGGCAAGTGCAACTTAAATTTAAGAACACTCAACGCCGCTCGATCGTTTTTCATGCGCGGAGAGTCGCGGAACCGTTAATTAACTAACGATCCACGGCGCGTGTCGTACGAAATGACGGTGTCATACAGCTTGAACGGGAACGTCGCGTTTCCAGCACATCTACGCGGACGCATTAATTCCAGTCGCTCTTCACGGGGCAATTAATCCGCTATTGAGAATTTCGCGTTTTGAAACAGTGATACGGTCGAACACCTGCACCTCGCGATCCCTTCCTGCTACGGCTACGACAAGGAGGAAACCGCCCACCGTTGGTGCGACGACGCTTAGAACGCATCTCCCGCACTCAATCTACAAAGGTGGTGGTGTGGTGGGGTTAGATACCGTGGAGAATACACGTTTCTACCGTGCTACCAGCGATTTCCGCGGGGGTAGGCGAGGGGATGAAGGGGAAGGAGAAGGAGGATGCGCGCGTTGTGTCTTCTCTCCGTTTCCCACCACGTCGAACGCCGGCGTACTCGGCCACCACAACCGAACGATGGTAGGCGGAGTCTCCAGGTAGCACACGAGACCGACGCGCAGGTGAGAGAAGAGCGAAACCTGAGCGAGGAGAGACAGACCAGGTAAGGGGAAGCTACGAGCCGGCCGACACATGTTCGTCCTCACACGCGAGAGACCGTGCGTGTCCTCCTCGGCCACACCGCGGGGTCAGTCGGGGTCCTGCTCTTAGTCAGGACGCTCCGAGAGGAAAGAGTGAGAATTTCTTCTTCTTCTTCTTCTTCTTCTTCTTCGCACGGGCTGACAGCTACCCTCTGCTAATCTACTATCACCTCGGGCTACTCTCGGCGATACGTACCGTAGATTAATGTGTTAGTCGTCACGAAAAACAGAAGAAACAAAAGGAGAAAGTCTACGTAAAGATTCTGTTCGAGGGATTTAAATCATCTTGTTATTCATGATTCTTCGAGGTCTCAAATTGGAGCGACTTTAAATATCGACGAGGATTGGTTCGAGCAGTGATTTCACGTCTTCATCACGATTAACCTTGATGAATCACATGACTTCCGGAAGGAGACTTCGACTGGCCGGTCGGTGGTGAACGGGGGACCAGTTCCAAGGCCGTCCAAGAGAGAACACTTTTAATCTCGCATTTAACGGGCGCTCAAGACCGCGTGCTTCCGCGAAAGTATTTGTGCGAGAAGGAGGCGACGTGTGCCGGTAGTTTAACGTTTGCCAAAGAAATCTGTGTGATTCGCGCCGAACTGATCTAGGTAGGCACAGTGCGTGAGGACCACACCTCGGGAATAGTGCGCGACTCCATGAGCGGCATACAATTTTAGCACGTCGTTTTCACATCGCCACAACACCTGAACGTGATGTGTGGTGAGTAAAGGATTTTTAAATATCTTCGGACAACAACGATCAACACGTGATACTTGCCGACTGACTTAACTCTCCGGTAAACTTCGACGATCGCGATCATTTTCATTTGTTACGCACTTTTATCGTCACACGCACTTGCCGAGAATTACATTTCATTCTACGCGTCAGTTTTACACATATATCACGTATAACATTCTGGGATTGGTAAGAGAAATTTGTGTTACAAGTTTTTAATTGTTATATACGTGAAAAGGAAGGAACGTTAAATTATCCATAGTATATTGAGTAAAATTTATTACAAAATTTGATTTATTTGTGCGTTTTATAATTTTATCGAAAATTGACGTATGTATAATTTCTTCTCTAGATGGAAAAAAATTACGTTGTGTGTCGAAGATCAGTACAATGAATCTATAAACTGTCAGTTATAGAAACATGATCGAATATAAATAACAATAAATTTATTGTGCATGAGAATGTGTCAACGTCACGTACACTATTAATCATCAACGATTTTATCAATCGAAATGATATAAATTTGATTTTTAACATCGTACAATAACACGATTTAAAGCTAATTTAAAGTTGACCTTTCTTGAAACTTTCCACGACGTCAATCGCAACTCTTATCAGAAGTCAGAATTAATCACTTGTGTTTTTTTTTTCGCCGATCCGTTGATCTTTATCATCGTATTTTAAATAGTCTTGCAAAACAGTCTTCGTGAAGATTACTCTTGTCCTCGTCAACTCCTTGAACATATTCCGCAATTATTTTGGCGTTATCATTTTAAACAATGCCAAGCATTTTAAACAGACGCATTTGCATTTTTTCGTGACACAAAAGTACTTGTTATTCACTTATCATAATAGTAATAATATTTAATAATAATTTACTTGTTAATAAAAATCATTGATAAGAGTACATTTGAAATCCGCTCAGAATTGTTTCAATTCGAATATAAACAAAATTATAGCTAATTACTTAAAAAGTTATCGAATGTTTCATTTAGTAGCTATTGTGCTTTATGTGATATTATATAGATGATTTATCTCGAATATTCAAGAGACGGCAAGGTTTCATCACATTTTCTGAACAAACTTCTATTGCCAGGTCACACATCTGCAGTTGATGAGATTTCGTGTGATTCTTCTATAAAAAACATACAGATTATTTGCGTAAACTATTCTAACAAGTGACATAAACTCTCCATTTGTTTTTTCATTCAATACTTATTCATAATTCTATAATTTCAGATATTAACTTTAGCTAAATTCATTCCGTATGATTTTAAAGACTCATATCTGCAAAATATATTTTTCTTTCCCAGAAATTTTGTCATTTAATTTGCGTCTTAATGGATCTTTATTTGAATGTGTCCCCCTAACGCGGAAACGCAAAAGATTTTTGTATCTTTGAATTGTAGTTATTTTAAAATAAATGAATAATATTTCATTTATCTTATTTGACTTACTATTTGTTAGTCGTTTGCGTATCTTAAAATAAACTTGTTTATTATACTGCTTGTGTTTTTACTTTCATACACGATTACACTTAAAAAAAACGTAGGTAATGTTTATGAAGCAGGTAACATTTATAAGAAGGGCACGGCTTCTTATACAAATGAAAGATTTTAGCGACGTACGTATATTATCCTAATCGCAAAAGCGAAAAAGTACTGCGGATAAGCTGCACGATGATAACCGAAGCACGAGGCATTAGAATAGCTAGTATTTTAAACATATCACGAATGCAAATGTAAGAAACATGTGTAAATTTCCAAAACATCGTCGCACTTTGGCTGCTTGCATAAAATGATGATTAACATGCATATGGCCACTCTTTATTGCATAAAAAAAATGTATATAAAACATTAATGTAATAAATAGTTTTTCAAATAAAACTTTGCAAAATTATTATATATAAAAACGTTTAATTTAGATATTTATAATAATTGTTTTTGCATAATAAGATAAATCATTCAGTATAATGAAATTTTCAGAAAATACGTTACTTTAATTCTTAGATTCTTAAATATAGATAGAATTCTTAAATAAATTTTTTTCATAATGAATCAATTATTTTTAAATATTTTTATTTTTAATTTTATTAAATCCGTTAAAAACCCGCATATGAAATAATGTGTTATCACATAATGCCAATGTCTTGTTTAATGTTGTAATATTGAAAAACTGCATTTGTCTTTAAAATTAAAAATTGAATGCCTATTTTAATCTCCGTTCAAAAATGTAGCGACGACAGTCATAACTTAGTCCAAAAATCCGTCTTAAAGAGGCTCAGGCGGAAAGAACATCTGACACTTGTTCACACAGCTTAATCAAGGCTTTGCGTAAATATTCATGATTGTTTTTTGAGATTTCGTTGTGACGTTACGGTGGGAGTTACTTTCGAAATTAACGAACAAACAAGGTTAGCCGTTTACGAGGCCTAGAGTTCTGTTTGTTATCAATTAATTAATTCGTTAATTGACAGATGTCTTCTCATTGTCTGCTAAGTCATTTGAACTTCATAGAACGAAATATACAGACTGTCGTTAAATTTTGCTGTAATTGGAAATTTCCGTTAATATGTGTGAGTCACATAAATAAAAAATTTTATTCGATTTCGAAATTTATATGAATTGAAAATGTTTTGTATTCACGAGAATACCGTAAGTCAGAAGTGATTAATGAATAATTAAGAAATATCTATCTGACCGCTGTAATTAATTTCTATAGTGAGAAGATAAACGACTCATCGATTCGGAATTTATTTTGTGAATGTGAAACGCGTCGAGCCTCAAGTGTGAAATTAAGAAATGACGTAGTTAATGTATCCCGAATCTGTTAAAGTTCCACAGGTGGCCATACGCTAAGTCAATTAATCTTCGTCATTAATCGTCATAAAAGATTTTTGGTATTGCACCGATTATCGCACACTCCTCAGTTTGTTTTTATCTTGTCGCGTACTAAAGATTGCAAAAACACGTTAACATTCGGTATTAAAGGTGTTACATTTACAAATTCAATGTTGATTAAACGCTAACATTTGAAGTGATAGAACATATTTTTTACGAAGCAGTGAACTTTTATTTTTGTTTATTTATTCTGTCCAATCGATAATAAATAAGCGCACTAATGTATGAACGTATATACTATATAAATATATTTTTAATATTACCATATATTATGTTATTACATTTTATTATGGAATATATATTATATTTTAATTTACATATTACATTTTTTTATCATACATATTACATATTACATAATGTTTTCGACATTCGTGTTTGATATTATTCACAATTTATTGCTTATCGTCGCGTAAAATTGAAAGGCTAGCAGGAAATCGGGTTTGTAACGCTCATGATTTATTCTTACACATACAACAAAAAGAACATGGTTTTTTTATTCTGTGGGCAACGTAATGCATCGATGATAACAACGTAGAAGTGCAGTATAATATATCGTTGAATTAGCCTCACCTGTTTAAATACGTGCCTATCTAATATCGAGACCTCGAATTTCAACACGAGTCATTGAAAACTTTCCATATCAAAATCGTAGTTCTCGAGCTGCTTTCCTTTTCCGCTTCATCTTTAACGAGCAAAATTTCTATAACATATTTAAATATATATTTTATCTCAAACCATTTTTGTGCTTCTCTAATGTCATATATTTCCATTTCAACTTATTATTAGATTCGAAACGAAGATTGATACATTTGAATCATCTCTCTTCTGCTTCCCTTTCTCTTTCTATGAATGATTATTTGATAAGTTTGCCAAGGAATTTTTCATGACGTTTATCAGCGGCATGCTTTTGTTCCTTTTTTTTTGCAACTATGTTGGACGCATCTTTATGAGCTTATTTCCTTTTTCAATTCGCTTATTTAAAACCGAAGAACAATAATTCAAATTCGCAATGAGAACATCCTCCGGCGATTGGCAGGAAACTATATCATGCACGGCCGTTATCTATGGAAACAAGTAACAAATTCTCGCTAGCGATGCGTTCGCGCATGAATTATGTAGAAATGCCGCCTTGTAAGAGCGCATTACAGATTTATTCAAACAACGAGTAGTGGTCATTAGTCGTACTTTATGTCCAAACGTGATCCTTATCGATACGGTAGGACCTTCGAGCCAGTGATTTACTTCGTGGTTTACCATTTGCGTCACCGACTTTCCGACACATCGTCGTTTCAAGCAAAATGGCTATTTCTACTTCCACTCATTCGTGTGTCTTACAAATGAATCGCTCTAACGCAACACTATATACATTCGCATTGTGCTCTTGTTAATTATTCGTTTGTTTATAGCTCGTTAAAAAATATCTTTTTTACTAATCATAAATTTACATGAACTAAAACACATTTTTTTAAATTTCTTAAAGATTTCGTATACTATAAAATTATACACAATGTTTATATAATAAAAATTATATAATTATGTTACGTGGATTTTTTTAGAAAAGACATGCAAAAATCATTGATGCCAATTAAAATTTTCTCCTTGATTGCACCGATCTGTAAAATTGTCCGACGACTCGAGAAATCAATATAAGGGATGTTGCGTGATGGAACGCAACCTGCGCGCAAATGTATTTAATTCATTATTACTAATTATCACAAGTTGATCAGCAGTTGGTGCTCGTTTTGAGAGCTTGTCCCGTCAAGTTTGTGGACGGAGTAATCGGAGCATTTTATCGTGGACTCGTCGCGGTGCGGTGCAGAGCCGCGTCGAGCAATCACATCTGTCCGACCTCGCGCGATTAGGATCTCGTCTCTTGATATATTCGTCCGATGTCCGATACTCGTTGCGATTCGCGCACGCACGATTTATAATTCATTTCACCGAGTGACAACCGGCTGCGCGTTTGTGATTTCTTCCTAGCGCGTTCGCTCTTTCGCGCGCGTAAATTTTTCCTTTTTTTTTCTCTTTTCTTTTTTATTATGTCGTGAATCTGATACACGTGATACGGCGCTGACCGTCGTCGACAATGCATTAAATGCATGCTCGCGTTTAGTTTAAACGCAGCGAGGATAAATATTCCGTATTCATTGATGCGCAAGATCCGCTGTACGATATGGAAACTAGTAACAATTTAAATACCTCTTTTAGCAGGGTTGGACGACTGTTATGAATATGGAGTTTATAATCGCCAGCATTTCAATTCTTTATTATCGAACGGATGAGATTGCTATAAAGTGCAAGCGCATAATTTGGAAAAACTCGACGTTTATATCGCAACTCAGTTTCTGATTAGTTATACTTCCTGCTATAAATTTGTTGGATTCTGATAAGCGGAACATGTATCGTGTTTAACTACTCCATAATGTTTATAAATCAATTTTTTAATCGACAAGAACAAACAATATTTAAATTGCATGTATCTGTTATATGTAATAATATATAACTGCAGAGAATTGTGATAATTTCTTATTTAAGATTCTTAATATTTAATTTTTGATATTATTTTATAAGAGTAAAAAAAATATCGCAACGTTCAAAATAATTTGTGAATATTTTTAACAACTGCGCATAAAATATTTTGTTACAAATAATACAAATAACAGCATAATCTGCTTTTATGATTAATTTTTTACCATATGTTTGCAAAGCAAATTTGGAAGATACGCATGTTGCGCAGCGCGACAATTTTGCTTTGTAATTTTTTTCGATCAACACGTTCCAGCAAGCCGTGATTTTAGACTGTAATCATTCTTCGTTTATGCGATCGAAAGGATTTCAGATTTTATGCATCACGAAAGAATCCGCTTCAAGGCTCCATGTATTATTCATTTCTCTGTTAACGTATATGTTTCGTGCATGTAATGAACGCGTTTGTGGAATGCAGCCTCTACGCATGCTTTTACACAAAATATGTATAACTCACACTTTACGTGAGTTTCTATAGTTTCTTTATTTCGTAGAGATTTTACAATCACTTTCGATATTAAACCATACAAAGACATAAAATCGACGGAAAATTAAAAATTTGAAGGAGGAAGATAACATAAATATTATAGTTAAAAACATCTACTAGAAGATATCAAAATAATACCTATAATACATTTATCTAAAATACCTATCTTTCTTAGAAACGATCTAAAAATTAAATAATGTGTTAGATATAATCTCTGATAAAAAAAAGATTCTGTGGATTAAGAATACCTATTTCACTTTAACGTCTTCTATTTTAAATATTTTCGTTTTTATCTATGTGGTTCTAGCTCAAGTATTTAATATTTATAAACTTGAAAATTACTGACTCTGAAGATTTACAAAAATTACCAAGCAATGTTATTTATAAGTGAGAACGGAATAAAATTTATTTAAAATTATTAAAAAATTTTATATAAGATGATATTTTTGCTATTATATGAATTTTTCAATTGCACTAAATGATATTTATGCTTAAATTAAACGCTATTATTTTTAATGGCCTTTCGAAACATTATTTTGCAATTTAGCACATGCATAATGATAAGAATTATCAATTTATCTAATATAGAGTTTTATCTACACATACAGACGTACGTTTATTGTACTTTAAATACATACTTTGAGAAAAGTTTGTTGCTAATAGAATGATACGGTGTTATTGCGATTTTGAAAATTATATATTGCACGAACATTTTGCGTTGGTGCGTGGGTACGAATAATAAGCCAAGTATTTGTTCTCTCGTGATAGAAGCGGTACCTCGAACTTGGCACATGAAACCGGAACTTCATTGCAATCCCGTGGGAGTTCCGGCGGGCGCCTTGTCACCCCCGGCTACCCTCTCGCCACCCGGCAGCCCCAGCATAATCACGCTGCCATCCTCGCCTTGGAGCCCAGGTGTACCGGGAAGCAGTTCGAGCATCGCATCCACCAATGCATCTTCGGGTCTTTGTCAACCCGTCCCCGATCGTTTCAGCGCCTTCACCCTCGTCTCGAATTACAATCCCGATCTGAGACTGCAAAGTCCATTCAGCGCTAGCGTTGCCGCGCGAGGTAAGTCGCGTGGATGGTGTGAATTTTAGAGTAAATTTTTTTATATTATATAATCTGACTTTATATACTCGTTTATCAATCTATAATTAAACCGCGAAATTTATTTAAAATATTTTTAATTTGAAAGTATTTTTATATATATAAAATATTAATATTCTTTTTATTCTTATATACAAAAATATTTATTTTAGTATATATCTCTCTTAAAATATGACGGCATAATCGCCAGAAATATTTTGTAAATTCTCTTTTACTTAAAAATTATCACACTTTCAAATTCCACGCTTTGAAACTCAGCACGGTTACCTTTGTTGTCTCAGACATGCGTTGCGGTCTCATGTACGGCGGCTATGGGGCATCTGGGGGTGCCTGGTGGCGTCACATGGGCCTGCTGTTGCCACATAGTTTGCTCCCGCCTACGAGAATCCCATCCCAACAGACGACGCCGGTCACGAATTGCTCGCCTATTCATTCGGAACCTCTCAGTCCGGCACGTCCCGGATCACCCCGAAGATGCACGCCGGAGAAGGCCAAATTCGGTGAGATTTCATTGAATCTCTCTTAAACAAATCTGCAGATACTTAACACGTTGTGACTGAAAAATATATAGAGAAGAAACTTCTCGGAGGAGGCGACATCATTACATTGAATGTAGTTCATATAAAATTCATCAAAAAATACTATTTTAAAATTATTTAAAATTTTTTTTAATTACTTTCAAGTATTACCCTAGTAATAATTTGCATAATGTAATTTATAACATTATGATTTCCTTGATTATTTTATGTATTGTGAAAAATGTGGCTGAATTGGACATATTCATACGTTTATGAGCATCATTTATTCAATATTAATTGGATTAATATGTGTGTACAAGTTTAATAAATGTAGAGACAAAACATGAATATTTTAATGAATTAATTGATGAATTTATTTTCATTCGATAATGATTACGATTTAGTAATCAAGAGTAAGTCTAGTAAAGTTATCTTTAGCTAGCTTTCCAGAAAGACTATCGTTAGAATATTTAAAATGAGTTCTTTTAAAAAAGTAGGCCGGTTAATGAGCAATTATCTGTAAGTGGGTACTATCGATCGACCAACGTTGTCATACGAGACATCATTTATCGCTCGACTTCGCTGCACGGATATTAATTACGATCAATTAATTGCTCTCTGCGTATATATATATATATATATACATATGGTGTGCAAAAACTATAAAATTTCCTCGCCTTTAATGATGATGTTACATGATCCATCATAAATTACCACTTTTTTTCGATATCGTAACATAGCGATAGTATGAGGTTTCTTGTTTCTTTGTGCTCTCTATGTTATAAGTTAATTTATGACGCTTACTTTATGATGAAATATTTCTACAAAAACGCTTAATATATGTATACTGATTTTTTATTTTTAAAATATGTGTGAATTGATCTTTACATATTTTATATGTATTTATAGAATTTGAAGAATTTTGTATTATTTTACATGAGCAAAAGATTTATTCGTTTTACATGTGAAACAAATAAGTATTGCATTTGATATTATCATGAATGATATTAAAATTTTTTTAATGAGAGACAAGCAGTGATTTGACAAACGCTTGAATAACGACATAGACCGATGATTTTTTTGTTTCAGAAGAGGAGGCGCCATTGAACCTCAGCACGAAGCCGAGCGACGTCTCGTCGAGTATCGGCAGTAGGAAAAGTGAAATTTGGTCGCCGGGTTCGGTGTGCGAGAGGGAGGCCAGGGAAACGAGAGCACCGTCCTCCAGGAGTCCGTCCTCGACCCCTATAATTACGCGGCAAATTCATCATTCACCACTTACACCGCCCTCCTCGACGGAAAGGACTTTTCAAGTAAGTGTTCCTGTATTATACCTCTTTATTTTTATTCGCGCACTTTCCTCACTTCATCAGATATCGACTAAAGTTGTTTGCTCCGTAACCAAATGACTTGTAATACTTTAACGAAGTAATACTTAAAACAACTTAATCGTGAATTTTAATAATAATAATATGTAACATTACGAGGTAATTCTTCTTTAAAAAGATGTCTCGCGCGCATGGGAAAGATTTATTTCGTATTATTCTATAATAAAAGAAATTTTTAAAAATGACATGGATAGAATTTCTTGATTTAAAAATCGCCATCGATGCCAAAACCGATGTTACCGTTGTAAAGAAAGATTTTCACGACGCTAGCGTCCTCTGCGTAAATCGCATAAGCGAATCATTGCGAATCTGTTATCGCAATGATGAAGATGGCTTTCGAGGAAGGCGACTAATATCAGTCCTGGAAATCTCGACGTGCGATTGTCCATGATATTTGACCCATCGGAAAATAGACCGCGTACCGTTGCATGCATATCTCATACAGTGCCAATTTTACGAAGTCGACAAATTGACTCGAGCTTTTATTGGCAATCGCGTCTCGAGCTCGTAAAGAAGTTTCGATTTCTATACGCGGTTTGTATCGACCGAACGTCCGATCGCGACAACCCCTAAACGTTGTATCGCCAGCGGTAATTGGTCCCATCTTAGAGACTTTCCCCTCTGTTGTTTCCCGTTCTTTCCCTCCGTTTTAGAGCTTTGATGCGACTTATCTGTTTCTGAGAATCTAACCACACTGTCGTTTTAACTGACAACTATAATCAACCCATTGATATTAATAATTTCCTCGACAGGAGAACAGGCTATTCGTTGATTGTTTGGATTAATTCTATTTCTGTCTTGCTAGTAGTAAATCGTTTGATTACCAGTAATTATCTAAAGTGTGGATAATTTTTTTCTTATATACATAATGTGTACAATATTAACAGAATATTATAAATTCAACATAAAATTGAATGTGAAACTGTAGTAAATTTTTTTTAATAATTATTTTTTTTAATTAAAAATTATCACCAGTCATAAGTACCTAAAAAAATATAACAAAATTTAGAATTAAGTAAAAAATTAATAGAAATATTTAAAATGAAGTAGACTATCCTTCTTAATCATCGTATTCAATCACAATGCTTCGTAAATAAGACTTTCCTATAAACGAAATATTATTTTTGGTTGGATTAATAGTTTATAAGCTCCTTAGAACATGATAGCTTTTCAAAAAGGTCGCCGATGATCGATATGTGGAACTACTTGATGACGTCCGTTTTTTTACGAGCTACAAGAAAGCAGGATTGGTAAAGACTAATGTTTTTTTTTAAAAATAAAACATATTATGTTTCTTCTTAAATATGTTTTTAATGCTTCAAATATGCTTTGAACAGTACTATAAAAAAACATATTTAAAACATATTAAAAACATCAATTAAGCATGTTTTAAATTGTTTAAAACACGTTTAAAACATGTTTTTTACCAACCCTGCAAGAAAGTGCTTCTCGCCACCCTGATTGTTAAGTCACATTGATTTCTTTGAAAATCGATATTTTTCTCTTCATAGACGAAAATTTTTATCACAAAAAAAAACAGTTTATTTAAGTAAATGTAAAAAAAGACTTACGCAACTTACTTATTTTCCAAGTTATGCACAATTTTTAGCAACAGTAAAAATTTCAATTTTTATAGCTAAGTCAGTAATTAGTGATTACGTTTTAGTCAGTAATTGATTTAAGCAATGCTTCTATTACAGTAATATTTTCCAAAGCAAATATAAAAGATACATATTCCATTAGGCAGAAGACACTAAATATATTCTAACGGGTCGTTATTAAAGAGGTCGTAATCATTCTATGCTACTTTTCAGCTGCTTTAAATGAAACGTCGTCAAATGCCTACGTTTAAATTAGACGTCATTATCAGGACTATCACGCATCTGTTACAATATAGGCATGATCTAATTAACATAACGAAGCAATCCGGACGGACAAGTTGTCGAATACGTGTCGGTCCATCCTTGACTTTATCGCAACGTTTCCTCTCGATACGCACAGAGGCGATCAGGCTTTTACGCGTGCCTACATACCGTGCGTAAAACCGGTCGATCTCCATTCCGTTCGGAGAAAGAAAAAAATCAGACTTCGGAGTCACGCGATATGAATTTCTTCGGGGCGCGCAAATACCCTTAAGTGCGTTGGGGCGAGGAAACGGGTCAAACGTTTTTGACGAGTACACGGACCTCGACAAAAGACCTCGCCGCTTCAATTACGTGTGATTGAATGGAAGTAGAGAAACTTGCCTCGCCGTGCCGTGGTTTTACGTCCATGACACGTAACCGTAACTCGACATATTAGGATATGTGGGCCGCACACACGCGTGAGCGTACGGGTGCACATATGTACGTACATGTGTTTGTGTATGTATATATATATATACGCACGCAGGTAAATACGCAGTTTTAATGTGATATTGACATTAAATTTTTAATATCACGCTTAGCCTAGATTTACTATAGTTCGCTATTAAAAAACTATTAGCTTTTATAAATTAACGTGAAAACCTTCATGGTCACACTACAAAAAAGCCACACGATGGATTAAAATGACCTGACAATCGATAGTATTAGTTCCAATGATTTCAAAATATTACAGTATATAATATTGCAGTATATAATGCTCGGAAACATCAGACGATTTGACAGTTCGAATCTCAAGTTCGAACGTTAAATAGTTCGGTCTGAATGTACGTTCGAACTATTTCAACCCACTTCAGAACTGAAAGTTCGAATTTATTACATTTCGAACTGAGACATAACAAGTCCTCAGGATTAACCTGAATATGTTTGAATATGACTTTTTCTTTTTGACATTTTTGTAATGTTTGTATATTTAAGTCTCGTGAAAAACTACTGTTTTGTTTCCAAGGCATACCAAGGCATACCAAGGCATACTAAATATATTTGTTTACTGTCTTCTCCGAACTCCAAACATAACGAATTGACATTTTATATTGGCTACGTTTACACCATTTAGGCCGCGGCCTATACAATTGATGTCCTTATTTATCCTGTAGGTTAAACAAAAACACCTATCGGTGTAGCTACTGACCACTGCTTAAGCTCTAACTGTTCGAATTGTCCGATATATTCCAATTAGATGCTCATTTTTTCAACTTCGAACTATTCGAATAGATCGAATATTCAACATGTTCGAATCTTTTGTCTGAACCCTAGTATATAATTTTATCCTTTAAAAAAATGGAACAATGGCGTTTTAGTAAAAAATTGAATTTTAACACCAAAAAAAATCTTAAACATATTAAGTTCAGAAAAATGTGCTTTTTTACTTAAAATATCGTAATTTTTTAAATTTATAATATTTTCAAATGCAATTTTAGCCTAGTACTCTTGAGATGACGTATTTTACAAAAAAGTATGTTACACGCGTTTCAAAAAAGGTATTTATTTTGAAGGTAGAAGATGGTCGCTTTTTAGGTGTAAAAAAGATGTTAAATTTGGGTAAAAGGTTATTTATTATTAGTTTAAGTTATTATTATTAATGTCAAAATTATTATTATTATTATTAATATTGAAGGCAAACATAAGTGAAAAACATAAAATACAAAAAATACATAGAAAACGTTACTCTTTATTACTGCAATCTCCGTACACAAATAGAGTCTGCTCTCTAAATCTAAATCAATGGATAATCACTGATTCAATGCCAAATATGCCACTGTTAATTAATGAATGAAATGTGTTATCGCTAACCTACAGCGAACCTTGCTTCAGTGTATAAGTGTAGTGTAAGTATAAGTATAAGTAGTAGTATAAGTATATTCAACGTATATAGTATTGTAAGATTGGAATTACAATGTGCTAGAAAAAACGTGCAAATATCGATATTTTATATAATGCTTAAACTTCTATATTTTTAGTATTAAGAAAAATTACGCTAATTGATAACCAGCGTCGACTCCTATTGCCTGTATTACATATTTCATGATTTTATTAAAGGAGTCTGTAAAAACTTATTAGTTTTTTCGTTAATTTGTGATTTATCATTGCTTAAACTTCTTTTTTTTATATAGTTGAATTTCACTGATTATCCAGTGCCAAATGTGCTAATATGATATGCTGATAATTCAGTACCAAATATCCACTGATTCAGATTTAGAGTGTGTTTATCACACATAGGTCGTAGATACCATGGACATTCTTCCTTCATCGTTTTTTTATTCTTATTTGAGGGACACAATCTACAGCTTTGTTATTTTTACAATTTAATGTAAAAATATAAATTATAAATTTTTTAATGAAAACTAGCGTTGGCCACACTTATAGACGCTTTGATCAGAAAAAAAAACGCTTTTTGCGCGAATGGCTGCTAGGCGCATACTAACAGTCCGATTAAAAAGCTAAGCATCTTTATCGATGGTTGAAGCTTCAAATCTCTAATCGATTGGTAGGAACGCGTTCTTCTGATGCCGAGAAGGTTCTGAAATCTAGCGTGAAAGATGATGCTCTGGTCATTTTGACCTAGAAGGACCATGAAAGGTTAAAATAACCGAATTTCCAAATATTTTAAGATTATATTTTTTTCACTTATTAATATGTATCTACTATAGTTATATCAGTGCTAGCAGGAAGAGTTTAAATTAAATTTTTTTATCTATATTCTATGCTATATTACTAATCTATTAAATTTCATCATTTTCACAAAGATTTTGTTTTTAGTATCTGTCTTGACGAAGTCTTTTCCAATTAAAATTTCTTTATAACAAAATATAAGTGTTGTGAACATTATTTAGTACAACGTCATGATTTTGAAATTTATTGTTAACCAATCCGTTTTAGATAGAGTAAATTTTAGATTACATCTTTTTGATAGATTTATAAAATTAGGAACACGAGTTTCAAAACATGTCTAGAATTTTCTGATCAAATGATTCTTTAATTTTTTAAGCTTAAATCTTAAAAAGTGTCTTAAGCAACGTAAAACCTAGCTATCGCGTCAATCGGTTGTTGTAATGATCCACGGAGATATTTAAGTAAAACGTCCGTGGGAAAGCCACAGTCCTTTTTATTTAATTCGCGCCTTCGTCGACGAGCGACAGATGTTCCGGGCTGGGCACAAAGAGCGTTGCAAGAGATTAACGGTAATTACGCGATTTCGAGGAGCCGCGAATTGCGAGGAGTGCAGAAACTGGAAGGCGGTCGGAGAGCAAAGACGTCAGGGCCGGCAGGCTCTGACTATCTCTCTCTCTCTATCTTGGCTTTGTTTCCGAACCATACCGGAAGCAGACGCTTTCGTGCGGTGACAATAGCGAGACTGCTTCGCCTCATCCACCTTACTTCCCACAATCCGTCGTTTCCTTCGCGATCTCTCGACACAGGCGTTCCGGCGGTGCTCATTAATGAAAACCCTCCCACTACATGGCACCGCTTTCCTTTCCTTTCCTTTCCTTCGTATATCCGTAAACGGGATGACGGTGTCCCATCGTTGACCGCTCCGAGAGCTCCCATCTTGCCAGGTGGACGACAGGAGTAATTAAGGGTGACAATTGTTGTGTGTGAGAGTCTATTGTCAAGATCGGTATACTAACGTGACCATCTTGCTTTAATTACAGTTTAAATACTAGGGTTTTGTGAATATATTGCTCTATTCTTCTTTATCCTTTAACGTTTTATACGAACCGTTGACCGGAATAGCTTTCTCATCATGAAAGATAAAAAACAGATGACGTCGTTGCGTTTAAAATCTTGAACGTATGACATAAATATTGTATGTAAATATACAGTGGTACACATTTACGTATTAAAATAATTATACCCCAAGCTAATCTTGACCAGTATTTAACGTCGAAGATGATCCTTTTCCTTTGCATGCGTTCAAATATAATAAATTTTCAATAATTTTTAAATATGCATTTCAAACGTTGTGATAATCTCTTAGGAGAGTAAGTACAATATTGTAGTAACGATCGCAATTTCAGTTATGCAATCATTCATCTACCGATTTTCGCCGGTCTTACCTTCGGATCCTGTTGAACAATGAGAATTAAGATTCACGGTGATATCGTCGCAAAGAAGTCGCAAAGAATGTCGCGCGAAGACAGGTCGCTCTTCTCTATATAATATATTGATCGTAGCGCGACGTGAATCATGCGTGCGCGCAATAATATTCCGCGGTTGGCATATTCATACCCTGTATAAATTGTCAGCCTGGACACGCATCGAACCGCACCGTCGGGGCATTGTGACGACTGGCGCCCGTGTGACAATGAACTAGAAGAGTGAGAGAGAAAGAGAGAAAAGGAAAGAAGTACGCGCGCGACGCTTCGTGAACACAGGTGTGCCTGGCGTCCCGGCGCCTAGGAGCGGTGCGTCTTCCATCTCCCCCGTTCCCTATCTTATTCCCTTTCTTAAGTCTGCGGTTGAAAATCAACAGACTTTATAGCGTTAGCAAGTCGCACTAAGAAAGTGCATACGTTTATGAAGATAATAATTGGCATGAGTATTTGAAGAGAGAGAGATATAAGTTTTGGGAACGAGAATTTAAGGAAGTAAGGAGCTCCGTCGAGCTAATGTATTACTGTTATCATGATACAATGCAGACATCTTCAGATATGTTCAATAGATAAATAGATAAATTGCAGTAAATTCAAGGAGTTATCGTGCATCATCGCAAAGTGATCTCGCTAATAAATTCTGAATGAACATTGGTATATGTGATATAATATATATAATAAATATTACAGAATACAGATTTCTATGAAGTTAGGAAGCGTATAGAATCACGAAAAGAATATTCTTGAGAGGGGTGCAATCAATATCGCGTGCGGAAACACGAGCTGTCCAGGAGAAATTGATAAATTAGCTACTTAACGGTTTAACAGTTGGACGATGGCGATTTATCAGAAAAAGGAAATTGCTATTAACGGCAAGATGGAAGTGATTTTGCATTATTAGATATGAAATCAGTAAGATTAGATTTTCAACTGTCGGGTGCAAATAAATATTAAGATAATATTACTTATTATTTTTGTAACACCATTATTATAGGATGAAAAAATAAATTTGTTCTGTCTTTGTTTAATTAAAAGCATAAAAAAATAATCAAATTCCAAGGAATGTATCGTATGTACACAGTATTCGTATTAAGAATGATAAATAGCATTAAATAAATAGACATAGCTCTAAGGTAAATCAATTGCTTTGTTTGTTACAATAGTGTAAGCAGTGCGGTAAGGCTTTCAAACGGTCAAGCACGCTTAGTACTCACCTGCTGATCCACTCCGACACGAGGCCTTATCCCTGTCAATATTGTGGCAAGAGGTTTCATCAGAAGTCAGATATGAAGAAACACACCTACATCCATACTGGTGAGTTCTCATTAATCCAATCTACCGCATGATTTTTAATTATATTAACGAAATTGCGTAAATAATTCTCAATGAATTAATTACGCAACAAATTAAAAATTTACTTATGTATCGATACTTAAAAAATTTTATTTATGAGAATGCATTTCTAGCTTTTTACACAGATAAATTTATAAAAATGTATGTATATAACTTTCACTAATGTCCCACATCGCTTGATAATATATAGAGTCTCAGAAATGTACTGCATTGATCTCTTTGTCTCGTCAGCTTCAAACTTCCAAAGAGAGATTATAATACGTTAACCGGACAAAGCGGGAAACCATATGACAAAGTTTCGGCATACGAGGGTATTGCGTGAGCATCGATAATTGCGATCGTCAGTAACAAGCCTCTACTTTGTACATCTAATTTTTACGTTGCGACTATACTCGTATAAGTCCAAGTTTTGTCCTCGGAATTACAGCTTGTCGCATGTTCTCCCTTAAACTTCTTTCTCCGCGGTCTTCGACCAAATGTTGCTCTTGCATACCGCCGATCGATAACTACAATTGCTGGTAACGAGCTTCTGTCTTTAGTCTCTACATCCAAACGGAAGACGCAAAGCGAACAGTTAAAAATAGTTTCCATAGCAGGACACCGCGATGGCTCTTTCTCTCTATTACTAAATCACTGAAATATAATAATTAATTGATCTAACGTATTATGTATTTTACCGTCGATACTCTTTGCTAACATACTAATCTCTTAAACAAATACTTGAAAACAAAATGTATAATAATTTTGATATTATTGCAATTGTATGTTATTAGATGTGCTCAATGTTTGAAATCATGATGATGATCATTTTTGTCTTGAGTTGTAGAATGTAATATCATTATTCTTTCATACTTTATTATGAATCTAAAAAGATGCATAATATTCTGCGCGTTACTTGGAACGAAAGACGCGCGATCGGCGTCCTCGGCGGGTGGTTTTCGAATTATTTATGAAGGCTGCCTTGTTGCCACCGTGGTAGACCATTTTGTACATTATTCAGAACATTGGTGTCCTGTGATCAGCGAAATATGTTCGGACATAAGTCGCGCAGGTCATATGGAACGAAAAAAAACCGAAAGTACCTCTATTCTTCCTTAGTTTTTGTGAATAACAAATGAGATTTGCTGAAAATGTTGATATCCCGATTTTATATACAAAACGTATTTAAGCGAAATTATTAATCTCCACGAGGGCTTTGTGTTAGTCTGTCGAAAGCGACATTTTAAGACAGATTAATAAAAAACAGCGGCAAAAAAAGTAATTGAAAAAGTAATTCCATGGAATAGTGTCGACTGAATTTTGATGGATTGAATTCGTTAATATATTTGTGAGATATGACGATTTCTTATAAATCAATAATACGTATATTATAATGCAATTATTGATATACAAAAAGATCATATAAATATGTCAACGAATGAAAGCGCTTGTGAAATAATTTTTTCGCGCGCTGTAAATTAATTAAGATTTTAAAACATTGTTAATACTACTCGATCCATTAGGCGTAATACATCTCGTATGCTATTTGCAGAGACACTTGCAAAAAGTCGCATTTGCTTGATGTGCGTTATCGCGTAAATGTGATTGCAACGCGCATCTGTTCGATCAAGCGCGACGAAAAACGGAGGGACGACGGACTTGCGCGCGACCACACCTTTATAACAACGCACACACGTTTAAAATGTGTGCGACCCGCGACGCATCCTCAATAGGGTGTCTCCACGAATGTCGCACCCACGTCTCTACGCGACTGACCCTTTTCGCATATGAAAGAATCACGTAGGAGGCATATACGCGATACCAGGAATCGATATCGCGGCATCGCGTACTTTAGATAGAAAAGGGAAATAAAAGAGAGACAATGTATAAATCTATCTTTCGACATGTTCCTTCCATATTCAACGAGAGACCTCTTAAACGGAATCTTCAAAGATCTTTTTAAAAATGTTCTTTGTAATAAAAAAAGACGATACTTATTCCGAAGTTGAATTGATATTTTTTTTTCTAATATTTATATACCTCTCGCGAAGAGAAGCTATCAGCGCGTCGCGCGTAGTTAAACTTCAGCATTGTCATTTAATTTGCGATACAGGAACGCTACGACAAATGATAAAAGGTAAATCACTTGCTAAAATCTAGCTTATATGCAAAATGTCTGTCATCAAAACCGCTCTTCGCTGTTTCATTCGATAGCAGTGGATAGGATAATTACCCTCTTTTACAATAAAAGCCAGAAAAAAATAGATTGGCATGCAATCAGATTAGCTCCGGATTTGATTCATTCGAGGTTGATGTGTCGCGGGAGACCCAAACGCGAACACGCATATTACCCGCAATAAATATATCGGCAGATCATCAGGCTCTTTCATATGGAAATCGTGTCTCGTCACGCACATTCTCTTTCAGACGGTTATTTTTCTTTCTTTCGTCCGAAGTAAAAATTAATCTGTTGCATATGGCAAAATGTGTTGGAAGCGATGACGATTATCGTAAAATTATGGTATTTTGAGAACAGTTCTCTTAATAATTTATAAAGTAAAAATTTTTAATATTTTTTCTACATATATTTTTGAAATTTTGTTTATAAAAATTAATCAGTTAATTATAATCATTTAATAATAATATTTTTACATCACGCGCATATTTCAATTCTTGACAATTTACATTAATTTCAATGATATGTTGCATTAGGTCATATTTCTATGCTTGTAATGTTCGGATGTATCGCCTTTGTTTTTTATTGTTTATGCTCATAGCTACATGAAAACCGACTTAAGTTAAATCTTTGACAGTTACTCATTCGATTGCTAACTGTCGTCTTGTTGACGCACATAAGTTGTTATTAATTATGGATACGGATATACAGCGAAATTAATTTAATTTTTAATTTATTATGTTCACAGTTTGATAGGTGAGTGATCTTTCTAAAGTTTTCATTTATTTTTCATTCTTTCTTTATACCTTAATAATGGTTGGATTATTTATATAGAATTCATCTTCGATTTATTTGGTCACCTGATCTGTTAACCTGGTGTCTTTATGAATGAAGCGGAATGACTGGGCACTCTGCTATCTAACCAGTTAAGAATTTTGATTGTATGTGGATCAGATACACTGAGGATGGCTCGAATGTAAGCCGAAACGTCTGATTTTTTCGTATTTAATAAATCATTTGCTCGCACGACTTACTGCGAAAAAACTCTCATTAGCCTGTTCTCTGTTTATATTTTAATAATAATATATATTTCGTTTGAATACGTTTTAAAAAATTTTTGTAGCGAATATGAGAATGTTAAATATGTATAAGTCATATTACGGTTTCGTGATATGGAATAAAGTAAAAAGAGAATGTATCATGAAATGAAATTTGAAATTTGTTCCTCGAACGCGATGTAAATTTACAAAATGATCCAAGATTAATATTTGATGAATCATTCGCGATATTGAAGGTAGCTTCCAAGAGGCGATTTGATGCTACGTACAAAGAGATAATCTGCAGATGGGAAACGTATTTGCATCGTACATCAAAAATGATCGTATATACCCTCGCACCGAGTGTACCTAACGAATGACCACACAATCGCAGCATGATTTTTCTACAACTCACTGCGGCCTATTATCGGTAATTTCTCGAGAGAAGAAAATAACTACTCACCGCAACCTAATGATGATTTTTTTATGGAGATACGTAGATTTGTTGTTAAAATGATTACCTAGCCCTTTAAAATATTCATAAAAATGCAGCGTATTCTGTTTTGCTTTATGTGCGTTTTGTGTTATATTTGCCGTTCTAGCGTTACTAGAATTACTAAAGGAAAATAAGAAATCTTAGGGTATATTTTAATATTTCAAATCGCGTACGTGTGCGACAGAGCATTTTAGTTTATAAAGTGATAATTTTTAAAAATTCCTTAAAAAATTTCTTGTTTTTCTCGGAAGATATACATAAAAATTAAAAGTAAAATTATTATTAATAATCTTTTTATTACATGAAATGTTCAAATATGCCATGTTTGTCGTTGTCATAAATATAAATATGGATGTCCCAGTAAGATAATTGTTTCGGTGAAAAAATAATTAATCGAAAACAAACACCATGTTCGTTGTTGCCATAATTTTAAATATGGATGTCCCAGTAAGATAATTATTTCGATGAAAAAGCAATTAATCGAAAACATTTTGGCTGACACATTAAGCGATAAATTGAATCCCCGCATGTATCGAATAACGCGTGATCTGATCCAGCCCCCACCCTCGATATAAATTGCGGACCCGAGAGTTTTTCTTAAGCGATCGGGTCCCGTGGCGAAAGCAGGACATGGAGGGAAGCGTCGATCGGGAGCGATAAGGAGATATTTTAATGGCGATTTAATCAGCTGCCTCGGCCACGTTTTCTCGTGGAAACGGCCGGAAGGAGCGCATGCACGATGGGAAACGGTCTGTTTGTCGCGCAAAGCGAGTTTCCGGCACGCCACGTGCCCGACACGGGTCGTCGTGGGGCGTGCGTGTCCCGTGCTAATTAGCGGCTAAGAGAACAAGCCGCTCGTCGTGGGTTAGGGACTACCGAGAAAGGGAGCATAGCACCCTCGAATGCTCGAGGAACTCGCTCTAGCCACTTTGTACTCTCTACGTTTCTCCGCGAGGGGTGAACGTAATGCGAATTTAATCGACCCTTCTCCCCATAGGCAGCGACTTTCCGCTACCAATTTTATTCTCTCTCGTAACGCAGCACCGCGATATAGGAATACTCCGGATTTATTAAAGTATCTTAATTATATCTTCAAAGAGCGACGTAAAAGAATTTGATTAATTAAATTAACCATCATCCAATTAAACGAACGTTTTGTTTTATATAGAACAAAATCCAGAATGTATAAATAATTTAAATTTAATCAAATAAATTCACGACGAGCTTCTAAAACGCAGTATATTGTTTAAATTTCTTTCCTCGAATTTATATA